TGCATTCTAGTCCCCTGTGATGAAAAGGACATCTTTTTTTGGTGTTAGCTCTAGAAGGTCTTGTAGATCTTCACAGAATCATTTGTTCAACTTCATCTTTGACATTAGCATTTGGGGCATAGACTTGGATTACTGTGATGTTGAATGGTTTGCCTTGGAAATGAACTGAGGTCATTCTGTCATTTTTGAGATTGCATCCAAGTACTGCATTTTGGACTCTTCTGTTGACTCTGAGGGCTACTCCATTCCTTCCAAGAGATTCTTACCCACAGTAGTAGATACAATGGTCATCTGATGGATGGATATGAGAGTTGGACTACAAAGAAAGCTGAGCACCAAAGAATTGATGCTTTTGAACTGTGGTGTTGGAGAAGACTCTTGAGAGTCCCCTGGACAGCAAGGAGATCTAACCAGCCCATCCTAAAGGAAATCAGTCCTGAATATTCATCGGAAGAACTGATGCTGAAGCTGAAGTTCCAATACTTTGGCCACCTGATGCGAAAAACCGACTCATTGGAAAAGACCCTGATGCTGGGAAAGATTGAAGGCAGGAGAAGAGGACAAGAGAGGATGAGATGGCTGAATGGGATCACCGACTCAATGGGCATGAGTTTGAGTAAACTCCGGGAGCTGGTGATGGACAGGGAGGCCTGGCGTGCTTCGGTCCAGGGGGTCGCAAGAGTCGGCCACGGCTGAGCGGCTGAGCTGGACTGAACTGAGTTAAATTCTCCCATTCCCGTCCATTTTAGTTCACTGATTCCTGAAATGCCATTGTTCACTCTTGCCATCTCCTGTTTGAGCACATCCAATTTACCTTGATTCATGGACCTAACATTCCAGGTTCCTATGCAATATTGTTCTTTACAGCATCGGACTTTACTTTCACCACCAAATACAACCACAATTGGGCATCGTTTCTGCTTTGACTCGTCTTCTTCACTCTTTCTATAACCTTACTCCCCAGAAATTGCATTAGATTTTTGTTATCTATGCTCATCTGTCTTTTCCCAAGGAATTATTCACATATTTTGCCTTAACATGAAGCCCTATCCTCAGAGTAGCCTTTCTTAAATGCATGCCCTGCTGTGCCTCTCGCCCTCCCCACCCAAACCCTTCCCTTGATGGCACATTGCCTGCAGGGTAAATCCAGACTCATTGGTGTGTCTTTTAGGGCCTTCCATGCTCTGCCCCCTCCACCTTCCAGCCTTACCCCCGCCACACCCACTCACCTATAGCATGCTACACACAGGTTCCCAGATGCATTGTGCTCTTTTGGCCTCTGTGGCTTTGTCTCTGCCTTTCCCAGCCTGTAGTATCTTCCTGTCCTTGCTCCTAGCTTAGACCAAACCAACCTCCTCTAGAAAATCTTCCTTGACATTCGCCCCACATGTCAGGCAGATCTAAGGACCCTTCTTCTGTGCTTTCATAAGCATCCATCTACCCCTACCTTACTGTTGGACCCACGAGAGCAGAAGACAGGCTCTACTCAACTTGGTAGCTTTAGCACCTGGCCCATAGAAAGCACTGACATATTCCTTAAATGAATGAATCATGTGGTAAATGTCCTTGACCACATAGAAACTTCCAACAAAGAAATGAGAGGAAGATGAAGTTCAAAAAGGAGGCTTTGGTGAAAAGTATTCTCATTGCTAGAAACAGTAATATATATTCGTGACCTTCATTGTTTTTAATCAGTGTTGTATTCTTCACTAGGTATGGAGATTGCTATGTGTGGAATAAGGTCACCACGTGCATACACAACATCCTAAGTGGGAGGAGATGGATAGAGCATTATGGAGAAGTAACCGTTAGAAATACCAAAAGCAGTGTTTGCATTTGCAAACTCACATTTGTCAAGGTAAATAATTTCATACAATAACAAAGGATAGATACATAAAATGCTTCCTAGGAAAGAAAGAAAGCAATTACCTTAAACGGCAGCAAGTGATTCAGTCCTGTAGCATTAATCCTTATGGACATTTAGTTAAGAAAGCAGAACAAAATGGTGGAGTTGCCCCAGGGGTGCAGACATCTGACCATGTAGAAGTCAAAAAGGGCACCATCTTGAAACAGAAAAAAGAATTCTTTTTAAAGAATATTCTTTTTAAGCAGTCAGTCAGTTCATTAAGTAAAATTCCAGAGAGTACTTCTTGCCTGTAACAAGTCTCCTGGTTTATATTCTATTTATATTCCTGCTTGATTACAACATATTCAAGTGATCTTATTTTAGGGAACTAAATATATCACAGTTGTGTTTTCTGAGGATACATAGAGATGACAGCTTCTAGTCCCTATAAACTTTTCCAACTCTGCCACTATTATATATAATCTTATATAAGTTCAACAAAAAGCAGTATCTTTCCTAACAAGAGAAGATGTCAGATATTTTTCTTTTTTCCTTTTTTTCTTATAGATTGATTATGTGGCTCAGAACTGAAGAGCCTGAATCAGTATTTGCTCTGACTGGGTCATGACAGTAACTGTGTGTATTTAGTTTTCTAGTCTAGGAGAAACTTCAGCTTAGGCCTGCCTCTAATATTTGCAGAGCTCAGGGTGAGAATACAAATGGACATCCCCATTCCATGTGTGTAAATATTTAAAATATGTAAACCAAGCCCACAAGCTGTCAAATAAAATATGTTTATACTGACAAAAGTACTTTTGTAAAACTAAAATCTGCAAGTCTAGGTTGGACACTTGGGAACGCCAAGCTGGAAACCCCGCAGCTCCGGAGAGCCAGTCTGGCCCACAGCCTTCATCACTCACTCCCCACCCCATCTCTGCCCCGCACTGCAAGAAGCCACACTTATATGCAAACAGTCCAGCCCACACTTCTAGACTCTGTCCACACCCCTTCACACCGCCACCCTTGGCCAGTCCTCTGGCCTAACAATTCACACTGGCATCTGCCTGTGAGTAGTTGAACCAAGGAAAGGCCTGTGCAGGCTGTGGAATAAGCTTAGACAGGAATTGGACAGGAATAAGCTTGGATAGGAATTGGGACTGCATCTAGAATGAGGCCATGGGATCCAAATGGGTCAGTGCTCACAGGCTTCTGACCCCTTGAGAAGGAGTATGGCTGGAAGACAGCTAGAAAAAGGTCTTCCTGGTTAAATTCAGCCATTTACAGCTACTATGAAAATTATTTTACCGTTTTCTCAAGTGTTGCCAATTGAACATCATTAAAATCCAGGAGCCAGGGAAAATGAAAGCAGGAGGATGGGAAGAATTACTCATCTATAGATTAATACTCAGTTAAGATAGAAACTCAGCCTTCTCTGGATGTGCTGTCATACTCTAGCATGGAGTAGGGGCATCCCCTTCTTAAAAGTTAAGCCAACTAATGCTTAGAAAGCCACCCTTCCTTGCAAAACATTTTGAGATAGGTGTCTAGAAATGGCTTGCCTGAGCAACATCAAGGTTAAGGAAATTTTCCGTATGAAAATTATAGGGATTGGTGTTATTCAACAGATGAGGTGTTTTAACAGGAGTTTGGTTTTTCCAGGTGAATTACTGGAATTCTAACGTGAATGAAGTCCAGGGGGTTGTGATGGATCAGGAGGGGAAGGTGGTGCACCGGCTGTTTGGGAAATGGCACGAAGGGCTGTACTGTGGTGTGGCCCCTTCTGCTAAGTGCATCTGGAGACCAGGTGAGACTGGCTTGAGTGTCCCGCCTCTAGGGGGCGCCATGAGTGGCAGAAAGTGGGGAGGGTCCCACTGTCTACTGAGGTACACCTTACGTTTTCCTTAATAGTGAAATCATAAACATAAATGCTTAAGGCAATTACAGTCACATTTATACTTCATCTATAAGTTTAATAAGTCCAGTATTTGATAATAAGGAGTTGTCGAATTGAGACCAAATCTGATGCGTGGTCAGAGATTGGGCTTCATGTAAAATCTCTGTAAATGTAATGCCCACATTTCCAAAGCTAGGTTTACTTATTAAAGCATTTAAGTAATTGAAATATGCAAATTTAAATACTTATGTTGTTTATTTATTCTCTGTTTTAGTAAAAACAAAAGAAAGGCTGCAAACATCCATAATCCAGAAATTCAATTATTTAACCAGAATAAGTGACCTTTTTACTTGAGCAGCAAAGAGCTACAATATGTTGACATTTAATAAAAGACATCAAGAGAGCTCTGACACACTAGCACATAATTGACTATCAAGTACAAATGGAACAAGTATCCACATGATATTTATTTTTATTGGAATTTTGTCAGTTAATTCCTAACTTTAAAATTAGTTATTAGTTTCCTTAGAGACCTCACCTGAGTATATAAACTCCCTGCTAGTAGAGTGGTTAGTTCATTTATTTGTCAGTTATGTACTGAGTAGTGAATAAGCTTCAGGCTCTGTTCTGGAGGCTTGGAAGTACATTACTGTGCAGAGCCTGTAATGGTTCTATCTTCTCATTTAGTTTAAAAGTGCCAGTAAACATTAGATCTGAATCTTTTTCTTTTCTAAATGGAAATAAATTTTAAGTGTTTCTGGTGATATCTTAATGCTGCTCATAGTTAATCACTTAAACATTTAGTTACCCAGTTGGATATTTGAGAGAAAAATTATGGTGTAGTTTAGCCAGTGAAGACTACTATATGTGCAAAGTTGTATTTTAAAGGCTAGATTTTATTAAATATATGAATCTATCAATTCTAATAGTCAACATGAAAGTTTTTCATCTTACAAAATAAAACCGATTTAATTTTTTTTTGAATTTGTAATCTAGGGGCTTCCCTGTGATCCAGTGGCTAAGACTGTGTGCTTCCAATATAGAGGGGCCCGGGTTCAATCCCTAGTCAGGGAACTCAATCCCACATGCTGCAACTAAGTGTTCTAATGCCACAGTGAAGACCGAAGATGTCACATGCTGCAACTAAGACCCAGCACAGCCACATAAATAAATAAAATAGTTTAAAATTTGTAACCTAATGTCTGTGACTACAGATTTAATGTTCATGTGAGTGTTAGTTAAACATCCGGGTTAAGTCAGCCTTTGCATGCTCTGCACACCTCTTTGCCTCTCACGGCGGTTTCTTGGCTTCATTCCAGGTTCCATGCCCACCAACTATGAGCTCTACTATGGCTTCACAAGGTTTGCTATTGAGCTCAACGAGTTAGATCCTGTGCTAAAAGACCTCCTTCCTCCAACAGATGCCCGATTCCGGCCAGATCAGAGGTGAGCAGAGCGGTAGTGTTTAAAATGAACAGTAGGTCATGACATGGTGCTTGCAGAAGTCATCAATACTTTGATCACCATCCTTTACTTATTCACTGAGTAAGTGAATTCATTCCCTTATTCACTCAGCAATAATTGAGCCTTCTAGCCCTAGATAAAGAGTATTCAGAGTATGATCATAATAGAAGATTAACTCAACAAAAATGCCCCACAAAAGATAACACAGATGTTTTTTAACAAAAAGTGCAGTCCCCCAGTCTACCAAAAGTCTGCAAATTGTTGAACTCTTCACTAAATACACAGTCACTCCTCACCTCAGTGTTTGTACTTCTATACTTCTATTACTTTTTAACACGGAACATCTTTTTTTATTCAAGTAACATTGGTGTTACATTATATAATCATAACATTATGTATGTACTAATGGGCTTCCCGGATGGCACTAGTGGTAAAGAACCTGCCTGCCAGTGTAGGGGTCGTAAGAGATGTGGGCTCAGTCTCTGGGTTGGGAAGATCCCCTGGAGGAGGGCATGGCAACCCACTCCAGCATTCTTGCCTGGAGAATCCCATGGGCAGAGGGAGGAGCCTGGTGGGCTATGAGCCATAGTGTCTGTAAGAGTTGGACATGACTGAAGCAGCTTAGCATGCGTGCATATATAGTAATATTATGTAATTTCCATGTGTGCCAATTATATTATACATCTGTATACTTATGTATACCAAAAATTTAGTTTCTATCCATCATCATACAGTTGATCTCCTTTATCCATCTCAGTGAAGAATAAGAGGAGAAGATACAGGGATACCTAGAAATCATTATTGTCGTCGTTTAGTAGCTAAGTTGTATCTGACTCTTCTGCAACCCCAGAAACGGTAGCCCTCCAGGCTTCTCTGTCCATGGGATTTCCTAGGCAAGAATACTGGAGTGTGTTGCCATTTCCTTCTCCAGGGGATCTTCCTGACCCAGGGATCAAACCCACGTTTCTTGCTTTGGCAGGTAGATTCTTTATCACTGAGCCACCAGGGAAGCCCATACCTAGAAATTCTTTGAGTCAAGAATTGGAGTTTTCCCAGCATGTTTTCGATCCCCTAGAGTGTGAGATATGCTCAATATACAGTATCTTTAATACATTCTGATTTTTAAAAAATTATTCTTACATATTGCTATACTCATGTTGTCTATTCCTACAGAATTAATTTTACTCTTTACATAAATTCTATGTCATACAGATTCCATCCAAGATTTTCTGTTTCCAGTGTCTTTGTGGCTTTGTCTATCTTCTGCCAAAATGTCCCCAGTATTGGATGTTCTCGTATTCAGTTTTCTTATGTTCCGCCCTCTTTCCCTCGAACATGCAATATCACTGTATGACCTTCAAACTTGTCAATAAGCTTCCTGTACAGTGTGTATCATATTGTATCCCTGTTCTTTGCTCTCATTTTGAAATTTAAATATTTGCAAGTCACCATTGGGTCTGCTTTCTCAATTCTATTTCAATATTCCCTTTCTGAATTTCATTTACTACTTATTTCCTTTCTGTGGCCTTTTGCAATTTCCCCCAACTGTTACCTTTTCTTTTTTCATCAGTTTTACTCTCCAATAAAAGATGAGAGCTCCTCCCTCTCAATCTGTTCTAAATGTAGCTGGAGACAACCAGGTCACATCCTCCGTGCAGTAGCCCTTCACAAGTGCTTCATTATAACATGGAAAAGGAGCAGAGCCAGGGACTTCATGATGTTCTAACCTCAGACTCTCCAGTCGTCCTGAAAAATCTCAAGTTTTGGAACCCTAGACAGCACAGAGAAGCTGACCACTTTTCCTTTCACTTCTGCCTGCAATGCAGAAGACCCAAGTTCAATATACCTGGGTTGGGAAGATCCCCGGGAGAAGGGAATGGCAGCCCACTCCAGTATTCTTGCCTGGAGAATTCCATGGACAGAGGAGCCTGGTGAACTTCAGTCCATGGGATCACAAAGAGTCTGACACAACTGAGTGACTTTCACACTTTCACACACACAGAAAATACATTAGCTGATGGCAGACAGAGACTGTGGCAGGGGCAAGGGGACGTTATCAGAGTGTTACTGTTCATTGTGTTATGTTAATAGCAACCAGAATTTAAGTTTATGCAAACGGCATGATTTTTTTCTCAGAAAAGAAGATAATATATTAAAAGATAAACTGCTTTCTGCTTAGATTAGTATTCTTGCCTGGAGAATCCCATGGACAGAGGAGCCTGGCAGGCTACAGTCCATGGGGTCACAAAGAGTCGGACACGACTGAGTGACTAACACTAACACCCTCTGTCATATAGAGCTTTGTGTCCATTCAGATTTGACCCTTCTGTGGTCTGATCATGGTGATTTACAGGATTATTTGAGGGATTATATACACATCACACAGACTAAGCTGTGGTTTCCAGACCCATCTGCCACCCTTTAGAATCAGGACACATCAGCTCAGAGTAACCTCATACCCCTTTTAGCTGCCCTGTCCTGGCTGGCCTGGAGCGGAACTGCAGTCCTGCTGTTCAGATGTTGAAGGTGCCTTCACTGGGCCTGGACCCTGCAGAGGCTCCTCCAGCTACTGAGGCTGATCCCTTCCCCATCAGTGAAGCAGAGAAAATTCCTGTGGGTCTGGGGTCTTGTTACAGTGTTTGTACATGCTTTGTTTGGGCCACTTCAATTTCTAGTCCTGCCTTGAGGTGACTTATCCCCGCTCTTAGCCCCTCTCTCTAGGACCCTGCCCACTTCCATTTCACAACAAAAATGAGTTTATTTCTGGTCAAAAATAGTCAAATCATCAGCCAGCAGATAGAATGTTCACTGGCTGACAAAGTACTGATTCTAATACACACCTTATCTACAGAAGGGGGTCCAATTATCAGGTCACCTGAATGAGACTTACATCTAATGTTGATTTGTGTATTTTCACAGAAAAGTGATTGATGCCAATCAAAGAGAAGCCTGGGTTTCTAACGACACCTACTGGGAGCTGCGAAAGGACCCTGGGTTTAGCAAAGTAGATAGCCCTGTTCTCTGGTAAACTGGAAACGTAGAGCTAGCCGACATATCACGCTCTGAATGAATAAATAACTATGCACAATTATGTTTCTTAGAGCTCCGCGTGGTTTCTGGGTCTACTGAAAACCGACCATTTGCTTTTCTATTCATCTTTATAATGAACTTTCAGAAGTGCATTAGACAAGGCCTCTAACCACTTTTGGATCCTTTCTGTTTTGCTGCAACCATATTCCTTAAAAAACATCCACACCCTCCTCAAAAAGCAGAATAAAAGGAGCAGAATATAAAATCCAAAGTCTGAAGAGTCTGTAAAGAGAAACAAACCGTAACTGGTGCTTCAAAAGCTGATCCAGAGAGTTTAAAGCAACATGACACATGAACCATGCATCTGGTCCTTTTCCAGAAGCGCCATCCCCTCCTTGCAGGAGCTCCAGGGCCATGGCAGTTGGTCAGCTCAGACTTGGAGCTTGTCTGTTTGATGTGGTGTACCTGTGCTGGCCTTTTCAAAAGAGATGTGATGCTTCTCAGAACCTGTTCCATCTGTACGCCATTGTTCATGCCTTAAGAAATGCAAAGATGTACAATAAATCATTTTTTAAAATGTGCACTCCTAGGTTTATGTGAAGGACAGATCTTTTGAATCATGGCATGATTCACTTTATGGGATCAGAAGAATTATGAGACTAACTCACACAGCTTGAAAAAAGTAAACAACACGTGCTTTACTTTGATATATTGGCTACTATATCATATGTCTGTAGGGCAAGAAGGAAAAGGTGTGCTAAGTAGATCTCTGTATTCACGTTGCTCGTCAGTTTCCTGTCCTGCGTACAGTTAATAAACCATCCCTCTTCCACCTAAGCTCCCAGTGTGCCCTATTATTTGGCAACATCCATATTTGATTTGAACACTTGGCATCAGTGTTAAAACTTCGGAAGGAAAAGGCAGAAAGCGTATAGAATTTCTCTGTGGGCTTTGGAGTACTGTGAGTCTAACTATTTTTGAGTGAAGCACAGTGCAGCCCACACCTATCCTGTATCTGACCCATTGACCCTGGTGGAATTCCACTGGGAAAGGAAGCGAGAACACTAGTAGCTTATTTGCATTGTTTAAATGAGTTCTATGCAAAACCACATGTCATATTTTCATCAAGTGTTTCTGTATGATACATAGCCACAGATTAAACATTTACCTTGCTATTGGCAGAAATATAAAACTTAAGCTAAGGAATTTATCCATCCTGACAAAAAAGGAGGGAGATGAGGGGCAGANTTATCCATCCTGACGAAAAAGGAGGGAGATGAGGGGCAGAAATGTGTTTTGCATATTTCAGAATTTGTTTGAAAAAAACAAAGAAGTTTTGTAGGAACTTGCATCAGTATTTCTGAGTTCCTGCACGTAGATATTTGTGTAAATGCTTATATATATTTTTTTTTAATCTCTTTAGAGATTTTCCTAGAGAATTATAAAATCACATGTATTTTATTCTGTTGAATTTTTATTCTTAGACTCTTATCATCAGATTTTATGTGTCATTTTAAGCTCTGATGACAAAGTTACTGATTTTTTTTATTATGAAGTGTTGATTTTAGTTTTGTTTCTTTTCCTCAAAGAATTCCTAATTATGGCTATTTCACTATCAAACCAAGACTGCTGAGAGCATAAGGAAAAACTCCGAAGCCTCCACTAGGTGGAGCAGGTTTTAATTATCTGAAACTCATTCCTCCTGTTATCTGAGTCTATACCTTTTATGTACAGCGTGCAGTGGTTCAGAATGCAGTCTCATTATCAAGCAAACTCCCAGCTCTGAGCATGTAAGCAGAACCCTCCCTCAGTTTCTCAATGCCTTTAAGTCCTATTTTAAGTCTTTGTTGGCTTCCCCAGTGGCAGTAACATGTTCCTTATTATTGGTTCTTTTTCTGCTTATTCATTTTGACGTCCTTTTATATGCATCCTGAGATACATGCCTTTAATTTTGATTAAATTTTAATTAGAATTTCGTTGGCTTCCTCAAGGAAGTCTGTTCTCCCTTAATTGGTAAAATTTTAGATACTATTTACAGTGGTTCTTGTCTGTATTTACTAGCATGTCCCTGAAGAGTCTCCGAATTTTAGCCTAAAGATAAGGAATGAACTCTGCAAAAGAAAGGTACTGCAAATAAGAAGATACTACAAGTAGGAAGGTAAGACTCCAGGTGACCAACGATATCAATCAGGCGGCTGGACGGGGACCCGTGACCCAAGAGGGAGGCGACTGCTATACCTCGCAGTGGGCTTTGAGAAAGAGACCAGCTAGTAGGATGGGCCTTTACTACCTAATAAGTTAAAGGTACAAATCAGGTAGGTGAATGTTGGTCAGAGCTAACCGGAAACTAACTAGGATTTCAAGATGAGAATGAGCAGAGTGTCAAATTAGTTAAAATCACCACATTCTTTGTAACTCTTTTGAGATTCAGATATACTGATTAGAATTCCAGTTCAAGTGATCAAGTTTTAGATAATGCTTCTGTAGTGCCTGATTCACAAATATTCCCTTCAGACAGTCATACCAGTGTAATGGCCCCATCCCTCATTTCGTTCTCACTTTTTATTTGATAATTGCAGAATTGTAAGACTCTGTATTCATCTGCATAATTTGGGGGCTTTTGAGACTAGTTTCAACAGCAAAAGGATAGACTAGATATTAGATCCTTCTTGATAAAACTTGACTTAGAATTTTATATAAACCTTTTCATTTCAGGGGCACTTCCCCCCACCCCCAAAGCAGCCTAGGATAGAGGAGGACTTAATATATCTTTATACCTCCCCTGTGATTTATTCTAAGCTCCTTCATATTTTTGAGCGGGTCATTAAGGAAAGCAGTAATAACTGATGATGGTCCTGTGGATGTGGCTAGACAGAAAAGAGTGATGGCACACACCAGCACGTGCAGAGGCCAACCAGAAACCAATTATTTTGCTTCCATATGCTGCTACCAAGGGTGCAAATTTACTTTCAGATTTTGCTGTTATTTTATTGGGTTTTTTAATTAATTTATTACTTTTCATGGGTCACTTTAAATTCCAGACAGTTGTAAAAACAAACCTCATTTGAAATGTTTTAATATTACATATCAATTATATGTGACATGAAAACTACCAGATGTATTTTGGTAAGAGAAATCAAGGAATTTCTCATACAAAGGATGCCAGGTTGTTGATTTTCTTTCTAAACCTTGTGCTCCTCTTCATTAATCTGGCCCCTAGGACTTGCAGTGATTCCACTAATTAAGCATTACAAATAGGTCCTGCCCCACGGAGCACTAGGGTGTACAGAGTTAAAGAGGAAGCTGATCCAACTCTTTTGCTTAGTTCTGATTATGGCTCTGGCTGGAGAAGAGTTTATAATCATAATCGAATGTACATTTTGTTAGTACCTTGGGTTTTAATTATCTATCTTGTCTCATCTTGTACTCTGTCATCCAGAGATGAAGTATTTGTGGGAGCAGAGCTCCTCACGCACCAGGGGGTGTAATAAATGTTTGCACTTGACTCAAGTTGATATGACTGTGGCACAGTAAATAAAGCTTGTGTACAAAATATTTATTTCTATGGCAGCCATTATGTTCAGGATATATAAACTGTATCTAATTAAACAATTATGAATCTGTTTTGTGCTCTAGAAATATTCTTTGGGGGGAAAGATGGAAAAAATGTCATAGGAGCCAAGATTAAACTATTTGGGTTTCTTTTTTTTTTTTTTCCAAAAAGCCTCCCAGTGATTTAGAAATAGTGCTTATCAAACTAGGATTAGCTTATCTAAGTTTTAATTGAATTTCTTTTGTAAGATTGATCCTTTTTAACTATACATTGCATGAATCATTCTGTTAAACCTGACTTTAATACATAGTTATATGAACACACTTGTGACTGAATTGTAAAACCTTTGTTGTAGTCTTCACTATTAGAGAAAATGGCAAATTGTTCAAGAGGGGACTAGTTTTAACCCTTCCAAAGTGAAATTGAAAAAATAAATTCTTTAAAAATGACTGTGATGAGTCAGCATTCCCAATATCTTAAGCAAATGGAAGCCTCATGATTAAGGCAGCTTATAGGTGCTACTATGCTGCTACCCATTTACTCTCAGATTTTTGTAAATTTACTCTCAGATTTTGCTGGTCTTTAATTGGCTTTTAAAGAAACTAAGTCATTATTTTTCATGGGTTACTTTATCCCATAATTTCCAGCTTACAGTCCTGTTAGTCATATGCATCCTTTTGTTTTCCAAAATAACTATCTTACTTGATTCATGTTCTCTTTTCCTCTGGTCCTGAAATAATGAGGGGCAGGAATACACATGCCTGTTCTTTTGCACTATGCCATTGAGCGTTTGTAAAATATGCAGCATTTATGCACAGTCGCAGGCTAGTGTATCAGTATTACAACCATTGCATTTAGCTCCTGTGGAACACTACTTTTAAATGTTTCTGGATTAAAAATTACCCCATTATTACATATTATTAGTTTTCTCAGTATCTCCAGACTGGTAAGAAAAAAATATTTTAAAAGGAACATTTTAATTTTCTGCAAAAAATTTTTTTCTCTCAGTTCTTCCTTCTAAATATAAATTAGGGCAGTTTTGGAGAGAGGAATATCGAGCTTTCAGAAAGCAAAGTATAATCCTATTTGAGTTCTGTTTCTTCTTACTCTTAGTTAACAAGATACATGCGTGCATGTTAAGTCAGTTCAGTTGTGTCCAACTTTTTGTGACCCCGTGGACTTGCAGCCCCGCAGGCTCCTGTTTGTGGGATTCTCCAGGCAAGAATACTGGAGTGAGCTGCCATGACCTCCTCCAGGGTATCCTGCTGACCCAGGGATCAAACCTGCATCTCTTATGTCACCTGCATTGACAGGCATGTTCTTTACCTCTAGCGCCATGTAGGAAGCCTTGAGTTAATAGGGTAAGCACAACTTAATACTGTTAAAGACAAAATAATGCTAAAATGATTACTTCTTTTATTTTAGGTATTAATTGCTAATCCCTGCCCCTTTAATTATCTTCATTAAGTTATTTCTTTAGGAAATAATATAGTTAATAGAAACTTTTCTTCCAGTCA